AGCTGAAGAGCTGAGGGACAGCGCCCAGGCCCAGAGTTCAAGCCCCACGACAGACCAAAAAAAAAAAAAGAAAGAAAACAAACTTCCACATATGTACTTATATCAACCTGGAAACATTTAGATATCTGTCTTTTCTCCACATTTTATTAGCATAGTTGTAAGAGGGGATTTAATTTTGGCATGTCCATAACATACTTACAATGTACCTTCATCACTTATTCTGCTTTATTACTTTCCTTTCTTCATTGAAGCCTCAAGGACTCTAGATATCCTTTTTATTATGGGAAAATCAGATGGATCATAAGATAATTTTCTCACTTGCTATGTAACTGATTTTGCTCCATAAATCTTACCATTTCCATATCATGTAGTTTAGCCTTTAGTTGTAAATTCTCTTTTTCTAATTCATGTAATTTGTCAGAACGAGCTCGAGTTCCTTCTAGTTGATCTTCCAACATGGTTTTTGTTTCTAATAAAACTTGATTGTCTTCTTTTAATTCCTATAATCATTTTGAAAGGGTTTTTTAAAAAAAGTGCTACATCATCTCTTAATTTTTTGAAGTTCTGCAACATAAACATTTTTATTGTAAACTAAACATTAAGCCAGTCTTATAAACAGCTTGATGAAAAAGTAAAGCTATTAATAGAAATATAGTTGATGTTTTTTGGATTCATTTACCCTCCAGAATTTAAGCTACTATGCAATCAAAATACCCAGTACTTATAACAGAATGAGTACTACTTCTATAACTGTAGTAACCTTAAATTGTTAAGAATATATTTAAACTATTAAAAAGCTAAGGAATATTTAAGTCAAATCTCCATAGAATGAGTGCTAAACTTTGACAGAAATTTCATTCTGAGCTATACCTTGCAAGACAAGGGTTTTAGGTTTTTATAGTAAAATACTAAGACTTAAACTAAGATTCACAAAAATCAAGGCTCTATGAATAATAAAAACATCTTAAGGAAATGAAGCCTGGTATCAAATTCAAGATCCTCCTTGCCTTAGTCTTACAAGCTTGGGAATTATAGGTTGTAACAACTCATCCAGCTCTAGCCTGTAATCTCACGTGCTTGGAGAAGTGGAAATCAGGAAGAACACAGTTCAAGGGTAGCCAAGGAAAAGTTAGTGAGATCCCATGTGAATCAATAACAGATACTGTGGTACAAGCCTGACATCCTGGTAATATAGGAGACATAAATATGAAGGCTTTAAGTAAGGCTAACCTGGGCAACACTCAAGCTCCTACTAAAAAATAACTAAAGCAAAAAAGGTTGAAGATATTTCTAGTGCCCAGGAACTGAGGTCCTGTGTTCAAATGCACCACCAAGAAAAAAAAGGTGTAATTAAGTCCATTAGTCATGGGTAAGAACTCCTTAATAACAGCATGCAACCATACATCTGAATAACTTGCAAAAAATTAAGTTTTGCATTACAGTATTATTATTTCTGTTGAATGGTAACATCAGACTAAAATGACCTTATGCTTCCAATTCTTTTTTTGCATATATTTTTATTATAAAAATACTGTACAGAGGGATTACATTTGCATGAGTAAGGTAATGAGTACATTTCCTATCAATTATTGTTACCTCCTCCTTTGTTTATCCCCTACCATCCCTTCCCTCTCCTGCATAATGTTTTCTTATCTTGCACTGACCAAAATCTCTTCTGTTCACAGAAAGTAAGAAAATTAATCAAGAAAAAAAAGGATTAAAGGACAGTCAAATTGCTACTCAACTTTAGGTAACACTAAACTGCAACTAAGAGTTGTTTTTCTCTCATTTATTGGCATATACATAGCTTTCATTGATACTAATTCTAATAATCTCATTAAGAAGCAGTCAGAAATGTTTGTTCATCTGTAGAAAAGTTTGAGATTAGCAGAGATCAATATTTCAACAATGACAAAAGACTTCAAAAGTCTTCCCTACTTCTGATGTTAAATAAGGAATAATAATAATAATAATAAAGAACACTAGGCGCTGGTGGCTCAAACCTGTAATCTTAGCTACTCAGGAGGCTGAGATCTAAGGACTGAAGCCAGCCTGGGCAGGAAAGTCCATGAGACTCTTACTTCCAATTAACCACTAGAAAACTGGAAGTGGCACTGTGGTTCAAAGTGGTAGAGTGCTAGCCTTGAGCAAAAGAACTCAAGACCAGCGCCCAGGCCCAGAGTTCAAGCCCCATGACTGACAAAAAAAAAAACAAACAAAAAACCATTTGTAGCTGGGCGCTGGTGGTTCATGCCTATAATCTAGGAGGCTGAGATCTGAGGATCACGGTTCAATGCCAGCCCTGGCAGGAAAGTAGTCCGTGAGCTGAGGGCAGTGCCCAGGCCCACAGTTCAAACCCCATGACACCCCCTCCCCAAAAGAAAGAAAAGAAAAAGAAATCCAGTTGTGAAAGTCTAAGTAATAATTCTGATCTATCATTTACTGTTTCAAAAATTCCTTGTTTAAAATCCAGCAACAGTGGCTCATGCTGACATCTGGAAGACTGAGGTTCAAAGCCAGCCCAGGAGAAAAGGCTGTTAGACTCCATGTCCAATTAACCAACACAATGATGGACTAGAGGCATGGCTCAAGTAGGAGAGCACCAACTGTGAGCAAGAAAGCTGAATGAAAGCATCAACCTTAATTTCAAGCCCCAGTATCCACACAAACAATAAAAAATTATGAAATAATTCTTGTTTATTGAGTACATTTTGAAAATCATTAACACTTTTAAGGAAAAACGATTATGAATCATTAATTATACAACATACCTCAACTCTTGCTTTATAAAATTCAATATCATGTAGTCTCTCTTTATATCTGCTGACTTCACTTTCAAGTTTATCAACTCTGACTGCCTTTTCTCGAAGGGCATCCAATTCATCTCGGTACATTCTAGCACAACGAGCATCCGAAAGCAAATTCATGTTCTAAATATAAACACACAATAAAGCCTTTAATATTACTCTTTCAACTTTTTATTTCTTGGTTACACAACATAATATACTGAAAAACCCCAATATATATTTATATATAACACATATATAACATTTATATATATATATATTTATATATAACATTCATATATATATATATATATATATATATATATAGTTGTGAGGGGCCAGTCCTGGGGGTTTGAACTCAGAGTCTGGGTGCTGTCCCTGAGGTTTTTTTTGCCCCAAACTACTAATCAATTGAGCCACAGAGCCATTCCTGGATTTTTGGTGGTAAATTGGAGATTAAGAGTCTATGGACTGGACTTTCTTCCCAGGCTGGTTTCAAACTAGAATCCTTAGGTCTCAGCCTTCTAAGTAGTGAGGATTATAGGAATGAGCCACCAGTACATGGCAAAATAAAAGATTTTTGAAGAAAATTATATGGTATGTAAAGTATACTCCTCTCTGGGCATTTTTTAATATACAGTCATACAAAGTTTTTTTCTTAACCTAAGCAGAAAAAGGCACTTAAACATATATTTATATGCCAATTTTTTTTTTTGGTCCGGTCATGGGGCCTGAACTCTGGGCCTGGTGCTGTCCCTCAGCTCTTCAGCTCAAGGCTAGCGCTCAACCACATGAGCCACAGCACCACTTCCGGTTTCTTTTCTTTTTGCTTATGTGGTGCTGAGGAATAGAACCCAGGGCCTCATGCATGCAAGGCAAGCGCTCTACCACTGAGACACCTTCCCAGCCCTATATCTCAATTTTATGTGCAAAAAATTTTAAGAGTTTCAAAAAAGTAAGTTAACTTCTAATTAAGGAGGACAAGTTAAAACACAATGATGCTGGGTGCCAGTGGATCATCCTTTTAATCCTGTATATTTAAGAGGCTGAGATCTGAGGATCACAGTTTGAAGCCAGCCCAGGCAGCAAGGTCAATGAAACACTCATCTCCAATTAACTAGGAACAAAGCTATAATTAGAGGCATGTCTCAAGTGATAGAACACTAGTCATGAATAAAAGATACAAGCAAGGCCCACGTTCAAGCCCCAGTTCTGGCACAATCAATCACAAGATAGTAAAAATATGAACAAAGCTTTATTACTAACATAAAACACTAGTTACTTAAGAGGTTTCTATGAAAACATTATTTGCAATATATATATCTTACTGAGAGGACAAGTATTAAAATCCAATCTTTTTTGGGAGGGGAGGAAGGAGGGTGTAGATGCCAGTACTGGGGTTTTAATTCAGGGCCTGGCCCCTTTCCTTTAGCTTTTTTCATTCAAGGCTAGCACTGTATCACCTGAACATAGCTCCACTTCTGGCCTTTTGGTAGTTAATTGGAGATAGCAGTCTTAAACAGACTTTTCTGAGTATGCTGCTGGAATTGCAATCCTCAGATCTCAGCCTCCTGAGCCAAAGGTGCCCAGCTAAAATCCAATATTTTAAAAGCTTTAGTGTAATTCTTTAAAGCAGCAATTCTTTTTTTTTTTTTGGGTCCGGTCGTGGGACCTGAACTCTGGGCCTGGGCGCTGTCCCTCAGCTCTTCAGCTCAAGGCTAGCACTCTACCACTTGAGCCACAGTGCTTATGTGGTGCTGAGGAATCGAACCCAGGGCTTTGAGCATGCAAGGCAAGCGCTCTACCACTGAGCCACTTTCCCAGCCCTAAAGCAGCAATTCTTAAAGCATTGTCCAACAACTTCTGTGTGCCCCTGAGATCTTTTCAGGGAGTTCATGAGGTCAAATCCATTTTCTTAGTAAATAAGAACTGACTTTTTTTGTTTTTGCTCTTATTCTCTACCAGTGACATTTTCCAGAGGATACACAGTATATAACATCTCAATAGACTAAGCGCAGAAATAACTGAGAATCCAGGAGTCATATTAGTAAGATTTGAAAAACTAGGTTCTTCCCTCTAATTTTTTGTTTGCTTTGGAGAATTATTCCTTTAAAAGGACATCTTGAGTTTACTTGCATGTACACACATGCACACAGACACAAAACCTAAGCAAGAACAGCAACGACAGTTTATCAGAAAATAAAATTTGTGGGGCTGGGAAGGTGGCTCAGTGGTAGAGTGCTTGCCTTGCATGCATGAGGCCCTGGGTTCGATTCCTCAGCACCACATAAGCATAAAAAGCTGGAAGTGGAGCTATGGCTCAAGTGGTAGAGCACTAGCCTTGACCTGAAATGCTGAGGGACAGTGCCCAGGCCCAGGGTTCAGGCCCCATGACTGACAAAAACAAAAAACAAAAAGAAAATAAGATTTGTAATTTCCAGTCTTATTCATCTAAAAAGATCTCAAGATGCATTAACTTTAAAGTAATTCATGTGCCACCAGAGAGCTTAAGTTCATTCTATTTCAAATTCTTCATTTTTTTTTTTTGCCGGTCGTGGGGCTTGAACTCTGGGCCTGGGTGCTGTCCCTCAGCTCTTCAGCTCAAGGCAAGCGCTCTACCACTTGAGCTACAGCACCACTTCCGGTTTTCTGGTGGTTTTATTGGAGATAGGAGTCTCACAGTCTCTCCTGCCCGGGC